ATATATAATAAATTTTAAACGTTGAAGAAGAGAAAATCTGTAAGTATGAAAAATAGGTGCCTTACTGGGATTCAAACACTTGACCTTCTGCTGTCTATGTATATATACATATATAAATTAATAGAAAAAGACAAATCCAGGCTTTTTAGATAAATCCGGATGCAGTTTAAATGAAAAAATAACTATACTGTCCATGCTTTAAGAATGATCCCATTAAAAGGGTAAAATCTAATCAATCTGTCTTTTACAAGCACAGTATATTTGGTAAATCGGTCCACGTTTCAAGATGGGCTTATATTAATTAGCTTTTATGCATAAAACGTCCAAATTTTAAAAAATGTTCATACGTCGTAAAAAATAAATAATGTGAACATAATTTTTAATTAGACCCATTGTAGACCTAATTATTACTAATGTGGAACCTTAATGTGCAATTGAAAAATTTGGACCTTTTTTATATGGAAGCTAATGTGGACCATCTTTATAAAATAAAGATAAATATCATAGAGAACATAGTTTAAAATCTTATCTACTACATACCTTTTTGTGTTCATCTATTTGACTTAAGTCACCTACGCTAGTTCGATTTGATCTGCATTTAATACTCATTTCTTCACTGCAATATTACAACGTGTACTCAAAACGCGTTTTGATGGTATCAGGATATGACCAAAATGTTTCGTCGTTTGGTTAATTGTAACGCGAGTTAATAAAACACTAACGTTAATGAGTTACAACTGTATTTTCAAAACCCTTTCATTTCTTTTTATATAGAATATTTTGGGAAAGGTTGTGACGTAAGTGTCTAATTTAAACCCCGTGTGCTGTTTGTGATACGCAGAGTCTTTGCTGGCGTCGTTTTAGACACCTATCGTTCTACAACAAAAGAAATTGTTCTCGTCTTAATCAGCGTACTAATTAAACGTCTTCATTATAGGCAGCATTAGTAATTATATCGTACTAATTGCATTTCTACAAATTATTGCTGAAGTAATTTAATTCATGTAGAAAACTAAAACGGATATTACGTCAACTAAAGAAACTATACATTTACATTTTCTCAATACACATTTAAGTATTTTTCTGAAAACACTTAAAAAGGCTTAGGTAGGGATTCACTTCTTGTATAATGAGTCAATGAGTCTATATAAAAAGAAATGAAAGGGTTTTGAATATGCAACTGCGTCAGTGTTTGCTTACCAAGTTTCTTTGTGGACAAATTTAGTTTTACCTTTTTTTTAATATCAGTTTTAATTTTTAGTTAGGTGATTTAAAAATTTATTCCTAGTGTGAAAAAAATGCATACCATCATAAACTGAAGTATCAGTGGTACGAAACAATGGGTAGCGTAAGGGGCCGCATATAAAACAAATATAATACCACAATGAAGTATATAAAGGTAACAATTTGAAAACAAAAAGGAAAGCAAATATAGGAAACGCTATCAAATTAGTAATGAAACCATTTAATTTATTTATTTCATTTAGGGTCGAAATGGCTCCATTTCGTGTTAAATCTTATAAAGCAAATATAATTATTATTCAAAGAAGAAACAGATTTATAGTGTATATGACATATTTTATTAAATATAAACTAATGAATATTCAATACTTGATCGTCCGAGCGTGAAGTAGAAATATTTAGACATCTAACACAGTTAACTCGTGTAACTCAAATCGTTTTAATATTTAAATTTTAATATTTGTCAAAAATATTGCTATTAGTACTACAGTTATCTACAGGGATATTACATAAATATACATAATATTTGTAGTCGAAAATCGAATACGTAGGCTATATGACAGACCCTATTATACAGGCTCTGTGGCTATATCAAATTCGATCAGCGTAAAAGCGTAAAAGTGTATATGACATATTTTATTAAATATAAACTAATGAATAATCAATACTTGATCGTCCGAGAGTGACACAGTTAACTCGTGTAACTCAAATCGTTTTAATATTTAAATTTTAATATTTGTCAAAAATATTGCTATTAGTACTACAGTTATCTACAGGTATATTACATAAATATACATCATATTTTTAGTCGAAAATCAAATACGTAGGCTATATGACAGACCCTATTATACAGGCTCTGTGCTATATCAAATTCGATCGGCGTAAAAGCCCAACTTGGCTTCGCCCTCATAATTTAACATAAGGCAATAATTCATCATAAAATAATATCGCAAAAAACACAGTCAGTCTCAATTGATTGATTTCACTATTTACAGAATGTAAAAGATTAATTAATTAAACGGCATCCTTAAAGTACCGTCATAACAGACGTTGCATTTCCTGGCGTCCCTTCTTCCACCGGTATTTCGTACAACACCCCTAAAAATAAAATTTAAAATGTTATACGCATGTAAATTAATTACATGGACTAGGTCTATACAAGGTGGTCTGATAATTATAATCATACCACTATTCTTCCCGTAGGTGATTGTATACAATATTCGGTACGTTTTACATCGCAAAAAGTACCCATAATTTATATATATACATATATACATATATATATATATACATATATATATATATATACACCTTTTACATCACAAACT